TCCAGCTACTTTCCTTCTTTATAATCCTCTCAACTTCCTCTAAGTAAAAAAACTTTTCTACTGGAATCCTTTTTTATTCCTGATTAAAAGCTAAAAGGTAGGCTGGGTGTAGTGGCATATAACCTTAATCCCAGCAACTGGGAGGCAGAGGCAGGACGTCTCTGTGAGTTGGAGGTCAGCCCTGGTCTACTTAGTGAGTTCCAGGACAGCCAGGGCTACACAATGAGGCCCTGTCTCAAAAAGAAACATACCAAACAATAAATACATAAATACATAAAAAACAAAAAAGCTACAAGTTGTTGCTCCATGTATTTTAGGAATTTTGGGTTTTAGTAATTTTGAATGATTGTTGCAACTATTAAAAAAAAAAAAAGAGGAGTTGGTTTGATGGGTCAGTAGGTACAGGTGCTATGTAAAGATGGTGACCTGGGTTCGGCTCTCTAGCTCCAGTGTAAAAGCCAGGTACATTAGTGTACGTCCATGACCCCAGTGCTGCTGGGGTAGAGACACATCTGTGGAGTCTCACTGGGCAGCCAAGTCAGGGGAGGGGGAGCGCCCCAGGCTCAGTGAGAGACCCTGTCCAAAAGAAGACAAAGACACCTGAAGGTGACCCCTGGCCTTCCCAGGCTCACACATACACACAGAAAGGGGAAAACAATGAAAACAGAATCCTCAGGACACTATTCGTCTGTGCTCTGTGTGATAATCTGCATGGAGGCATAACCTGTTTTTTTGTTTTTTTGTTTTTTTGTTTTTTTCTCTCTCTCTCTAAAGAAAAGTGCAACAGGGGCTGTTAAGCTGCCTCGGTGCCTAGAGTGTTGGCTGCTAAGCCCGACTACAGAGTTCCATGCTGATGACCCACATGCAAGGAGGGAGCGGAAGCCTGGACCTGCCATGGCACCCTCCCCCATACACAATAAATGCATAGGTGCAATATGAAAAAAGAAACATTTGCTAGAACCTGGCTGGGGAATACACAGCTCAGTGGCAGATTTCTTACCTAGGGCTTGGGAGGCATCTCCAGCCTTCAGCCTGACAAACAGAAAAAGAAAGAAAGAAAAGGAGAAGGCAGCAGACAAACCTCTAGGACAGTGGTTCTCAACCTGTAGCCCCCCTCTGTCTCGAATGACTCTTTCACAGGGGTCAACTAAGACCACCAGAAAACACTAACTTTCCTATTCATAACAGTAACAAAGTTACAGTTATGAAGTACCAACGAAATTATTTATGGTTGGGGGTCACCACAACATGGGGAACTGTGTTAAAGGATTGCAGAGTTAGTAAGACTGAGAACCACTGCCTTAGGATTTCTGTCTCACAGATGACGTCAGGAAGAAAAGAGCCTCTTTTCTTCAAAGTTCAGGTATAAAAGGAACAAACCAATCGGGCTTTCTGTTCGTTCCTTCTGGGGCAGAAACATGTTTTCACCCGGGAAATACTTAGCTTTCTTTATCTAAAAGTAGTCCAGGGTAAACAAACCAGAGTTTCAACACAAAAATCTTAAATATCTGAAAGGTAACCATGTTACCTTTAGAAAGTCTGCACTGTGGAGGGAGAGATGGCTTACTGGTCAAGAGCACTCACTGGCTGCTCTTTCAGTGGACCCAGGTTCTATTCCCACCACCTGAAAGCTGGCTTACAACTGGCTCTAACTCTAGTGCTGGGGAATCCAATACCCTTGTCTAGTCTCCGTGGGCACACACGTACATGAAATAAAAACAATTAAAGAGTCCGTATTGTTTTACCATGAAGAGCATAGGCTGACTGCCATTACACACCTCACTTTAGAAGAAAATGTTTCAGAGCTGGCACTGGGGCAAAACTGAAACACTGAAAAATCCAGACGATTTCTTTACTTCTGGAAATTGAACAAGAGTTGAATTTCGAAAAGTTTGAAATGTGTTAAACATTTCCGTGACAGAGAGCTTTTTATTGGTCTCCCTAACCCCACGAGAAGGTTGGGACGATCTAGTTGATTGCCCTGACACCAAGCTACACCCCAGTTTTAAAAACCCCGCCTCCCCCCACCCCCGCCCCTATCAGCCTCTCAGTTTTTTCTAAGAACTTTCATTTTTCTCTATCTTTTTATTTTATTTTTATTTTTATTTTTTGCCTCTAACAGGTCCTGGCCACCGGGGGAAAACTGCACAACCACTCATTATTTATTTATTTATTTATTTATTTATTTATTTATTTATTTATTTATTTGCCAATCCCTGCACGTCCACTTGTGACTATACCGCCTCATTAAGGAAGGCTTTATAATGTATATTACACCTAATTCATGTTTTCACACACACACATAACGTAAAATCAGTGCTTCGGATCAAAACGAAGTTGCCCTTCTGCAGTTATTTCGAGGTCGAGGGTACCAATGCCCCCTTAGCATCGTCCCGACACGTTTTGGAGTTAGGTACCACATCCCTTCCGGAAGCATCCTCCCGCCCCCGGGGCCCGCAGACCTCAGCAGCGGCCTGGGCAGGAGAGGCTGGAAAGGCTTCCACACTAAGAGCCCCTCAGGTTCTCCGCTCAGCTCGCTTACCGGCCAGGCGGCCCCGCCCCCAGGGCGGAGACGGGCGGAGCGGGTCCTCTCCTCCGCCTCCAGACTGGTCCCGGCCCCCGGTGCGCGCGGCGCATGTGCCCGGTTGTCCCCTCCCCCGCCCTGGATTCCACTTCCCCTCGGCTCGCGCCACAGCGGCCGCCTCCGGAGCCCATGGCCGGGACGCGCTGGGTGCTGGGGGCGCTGCTCCGGGGCTGCGGCTGCAACTGCAGCAGCTGCCGGCGCACCGGCGCCGCCTGCCTGCCCTTCTACTCGGCCGCGGGCGCCTTCCCGTCGGGCGTCTCCGGCCGCCGCCGCCTGCTGCTGCTCCTCGGGGCCGCCGCTTCCCAGACGCGGGGCCTGCAGCTCGGGCCCGCGGCTGCCGGGAGGCTGGCGGGTCCCGTCCCCGCTCGGCCCTCCGCCGCCGCCGCCGCCGCCGCCGCCGCGTCCTACTCGGCCCTGCGCGCCC